GGGAAATAACTGGTCGCCGGTGTGAGGTTTCCGGGGAGCAGGCAGGCAGCTCGGGCACAAACCCGGCTCTGCACCCACGTGCTTTACCCAGTCGCACTGTTCACAGGCGCGTGGAAAGCGTCTGGCTCGGGTCCTTGGGGGCTGACAGGACGCGCCCCGAGTGCAGCGAGACCGTGGCCGGTGCCGCAGGAGCCTGTGCCCCACCCCCGCAGGGTCAGGGTCAGCGCTGTCTCTCGCTGCCTGTCTTGGGCATCTCTGAAGGGGAGGTCACAGGTCCCCATCTCCTCCCTGAGGGTCACATGGGAGTTCTTATAACCCGAGTTGGGGCCAAGTGTGGTCAGTCTTGGTAAGAGCCTGTCAGGTGCTCTTGGCCGCTGGGACCAGGAGAGCAAGGCCCGCCATGGGGATGAGGGCCACTCAGGGCACGGAAAGGCTGGTTTAGAGCGGATTCGCCTCTTGGTTTGCTCACTGGGTGCTGGACCTCAGGAACTAAAATGCTTCTGAAGCCATCAAAGGCTTCGGATTACAGCCACGCGTTAAGGCAGCACAAATGCGCGTGAAAGCTCAGTTTCCCTGTCACCACGGTCTGTTCTCTGGGGCGCGTGGGATTCAGGTCTGTCTCGGAAAAGGGCATCTGGAGACCAGGGCAGTGCCAGCGACCCACCCAGGGCCTCCGTGTTAAAATTACAGAACACAGCAAGAGTTTATAAATATATAACTATATTTATTTTGAATATTAAATAGTTTTTAAATTACAAGCAATTTATTGAATCACACTATGCATCAATATACAGTAAAAATCTTACAATTTAAAAATGTACACAATTTAAACTGAAAGTTCATTAACTTACATTGCCGTGAATATAACTCTTACGATTGTGTTAAAGTTCAACAGGGAAACCGCACAGGTGTGACTGCCCCTGGGGTCCTCCTCTGAGACCTACTAGACATGTCCAGCCATTCCAGTAACGGCTAGTGGCAGTTCAATACTGTCAACACATCTTTGAGGATTTATTCATACGTTAAAGAGAACTTTCCTTTTAACAGTCAAAACTTGAGCCAACCCCATCACAACCTAGGAAGATTGTGTTTGAGATTCAGGTCTGAAGGAACTACAGCATTCTTACTCTAAGGCTATTTCTCAGAAGGCGCGTGTCTTGCAGCCCCTGACCCGGGTTCGGGTTCGCTTCTGGGATTCTCAGATGACCAGCTGAGTCAAGTCAAGCCGGGAGCTGCTCCCTCACACCTGGGCCCTCGGGGCAAACATGCGGCAAGTTAGGTCATTAACCCTACACGCACCCTATGGACATAATACCAAGAGGCTTTTAAAGGTGTTTCATGGCAGCAAGACATACAAAGACTTGTCTTAGATAAACCCATTTCCATAGAAACAGTCACCTGTACGTTTAAAAATGAACAGGTTTTCAATTCAGCGTTGCTGAGCTGGTTCACCCTTAAGATGAATGGCTTCTTCCCAGACCACAGTCCAAGTTTCAGAAGGATTTGGGAGCACTTTTCTACATTCTTTTTGACTTACAACAGTCATTGATAACACAAGTTAACACCTAGCTAGGAAGGAAATGAAGGTTAGATTATTTGTACCATGGGATTAAACTCCACCAAAGTAGGACTCATTGAAACCTGATCAATTCCAAGGGAGGCCAGGAAATGTTGTGAGGCAGGTATTTCAAACCCCACCCGTATTCCCTAGAGAATCACTGATTTATTTCACTGCATAACTTACTAGAGCAAGTACTGCTTGAAAACCCACTACTTTTATACAACTGAGTAAAAAAAAAAACAAAGCACACGCTGGCATTTCAAAAATGGGCTGAAAATTTTAGTGTACACGATTTATTTCCTGTGTATTGCTTGAGATTTCAAAAGAACATGTTCACACACGTGTTCATTATAAATATAAAATATTCCCCACCATGCAACCCCACAGTAAGATCTACTCCAACCCCTCCCCCCCAACTCAATGTATAAAATGCCTTTTTGGCAATTATGAGAGCGACACAGACTTAAAATAAATAAAAATGAGAATTATGTTGTTAAAATCTCCTTGATCATAGTGAAAAATGGTCAACCCCAAAACACCAGATTTAGCCTGGGCTGACTGTATAAGACTATATATTCTATAGATCGGCTTGATTTTAGTCATTAAGTCTGAACCCCTTAAACCTATACTTTGAAAAATCTAGTATAATGGCCTTATTTCTCTCTAAACCAAGCTGGTAGTTAGATGTAAAAATTCAGAAAGCTCAGGAAGTCTCCATAAGTAAGAAACTCAGAGTTTGGCAACTTTGGCAAAATCACCTTCTAATGCCCTGTTAACTTTTCAAAGTGCACACCACAGGGTCCAGCTCCCAGCAGCGCTCCCCCCCCACCCCCCGCCCGGTGGTACTCCATGCTCACAGCAAGTGGGGGGGAAGGGCTCTTCTCCACCTGAAGTCTCTCGCTCTGGAACGTTATTGCTAGTATAAGAAGTTAGTGGAGTGAACCAGAATTGGTAATAAGGATCAGCATTTACTACGGACACTCTAGCCAGTGTACACGTTTGCATCTCGCCCTGGGACGGCGTTCCTGTGACTTACACCCCGGGGCCCCCGGGGCCTGGAGTCAGCCTAGGGCCCGGCTGGAGTGGGAAAGCACCTCAGCACCGAGAACACTGGGGAAGGGCAGCCTGTGGGGCCTGCAGACCTGGCTTCAGGACGGACACGCCGAGCCCCCGGGAACTCCCCGAGGTCAGAGCAGGACTCAGAACTGCAGGAGGAGGCCACCAACACTATGAGGTTGCACTGGACACACGCGTCCTTTTCCAAGCAAGGGGAGAACTCGGTGCTTAACGCAGACGGGAAGGTCAGTGCAGTGCGCCCCGGGGTGGCGTCTGGGTGAGCGGCCAGGCAGGGCTGCCCCGCTTCTGACCAGGAGGACATGCTGGCTGCGGAGGCTCCGCCGCTGTCCCTCGTCCCTCCATCCTCAGTTGCGGGATGGGATGCAGGGCACCTCCTCGGCTGCAGACACCAGCCACCTGGCCGTGACAGGCCTCGGAGGGGTTCTAGGGGAAAGTTCCGCTCTGGGGGTATTAAGAGCTCAACACCAGAGGCTGAGCTTTTACAAACAGAATCAAACCCTCGTGTTGCCAGAGGCCTGGGGGAGCAGCTCCTCCCTCCGAGTTCCAAGGACATGGAAGCCACAGCAGCCTGCGCTTCTGAAAGCCAAGCAGGTGTCCAGTGATGGCAGCTTGGAGGGAAGTGCCTCTGGGGGAAGGGCCCGGGGACCGCACAGTCTAACCAGCACTCAGTGCTGGGGCGCACCACCTGTTGGTGTTTACCCAAAGGGTTTAAAAATCGGGGTGGGGAATCACACAGAGGCTGCAAGGCCCTCAGCTCCTCAGAGAAGCCTCCTCCGCTACAGGGAAACCACCGCGTCGAGAAGAGACAACAGGGGTTCCAGCCCATCGACCGAAGAGCAGTTTCTCTGGGCTCATCCAAACCTTTCCTATGAGGCTCGAAGCACTATCGTTCGGAATCAGTTATCGTTTACGAAAGAGGGCCATCTGTACAACTCCAGCAACTCTAAGGACTGCACACACTCCAAATATTTCAGCTTTACAAGTACCATGCAGAGCAAATAAACTATAAAACAACCAAAAAATCAAACTAGTGGGCAGCACCAGCTTGACCTGCCTTATTTTCCTTGAATAACTTAAGATTCTGTACAATATCAGGGACTCTTAGAACATGTACCCACAGTGCAATTACAGAAGCAATTAGTGATTTCTTACAAATAATAAATATGGCTCACGGTGCCCAGTCCCACCACGCGTCCTCTGGGCCCGTGCGCAGACGGATGCACGGGTGTGGACAGAGAACCCCGCGTGGAAACCAGAAACAGCCGGGAGCCCACAGCTCTCCACGCACCTGAGCAGTGCCGGCCCTCCCCAAGGAAGACCAGAGCCCGAGTGTCTTTAGTGGTGAGAGCGGCTGCAGGCGCGCAGCTGCCAGGGCAGCAAACCACGCGAGACAGGACCCCGGCTCCCTAGACGGGCTTCCTGCCGTGGGTACCGGGCTCGGGGCCCAGTGCTGGCTCCCTCTCCGCCTCTGAGTCTTTCTCCCTGTCCCGCCTCAGCAGATGTCGCGTGGATGACGTTGTTCGGTGGGCAGCACAGGCCCGCCGCCGCGGGGAAGCAGCCTGGAACCTGAGTGCATCACCATCCACCTAATCTTTTTCTCCATCTTCACTGCTTCCTGTTTAGGAGAGAGCAAGCAGAGCGGGGTTAAAGTGACTGTCCCAGATAAAACAGTCGGGGTAGCATCTGAGCTGCACGGCAGAAAAAGGAACTGAAGCTGCGAGTGCGGACGCCCAGCACCTGCCGAGCCCCAGGTGTTCTTCCCAGGGCAGCAAGCACATCTGCTCAGCTCCCACGCTGGGTCAATGTCGAGGCTGAGGGCGCAGGAGAAAGCGGCTCTGGCCGGCACACATCTGCCCCTCTGACAAGGCGTTAGGCCATGCC